CCTCCTGGTTGTGCTACCGCTCCTCCTGGTTGCGCCACCGCTGGGTTTTGGGGCGGCGGTGGTGGCATCGCTGCCGCAGCCGCTGCGCGAATCTCCTGGGCACGATTGTAGCCATTATCTCCTCCGGGAATCGCTGTCGTCGCTCCCACACCTTGGAGGATAGGTGTAGGAGTGATCGGCATCTGTGATGGGCCAGAAAAACCCGGAGGAGGGCCTTGTCCAAATGGCATGATCGTCGTCCAAGCGTCGTCGAACGTTGACTGCAAGTTTTTGAGGATTCCGTCCGCCATAGCTGAGCTTCAAACATAACTTCTCAAACGAAAGTTCCACAGACGGCGCCAAATGGTAAAATTCCCGACCGACTGGAACTTGAATAATCGCCTTCCTTCTCGCCGGTTGAACGTCGTGCACCTACAAAGAACTCTCACACCGGAGGGCTTTCCCGGTGAAGAGCCTCCGAAGCTTAAGTCAGTATATATCCAATGAATTCTCAAGAGTAAATCGTGTTTAAGAAAAAAGGCTTATATAGGGGTGAGAAACCTGACCTAGGGCAGCCCGGATTTGATGAGTTGTCTGCCCTAATTGCCCGTCCGTACACACCATATGCGTGTGTCAGAGGTAGCCGTCGCCACTATCGCCTGCACCAATACCCTTTGGACGCGTGTCCTCCTGCACATGGGGTAGGCTGTCAGGGGTGGTTATTGCTATCAACCACTGCCTTCTCGACACTTGTCCCCCTACACATGGGGTAAATATTCTCCTAAAATTCAGTTAGAGACTCTCTCACGCGTCTGTGACTAGGCCGATCAGTGTAGTGTTAAGTCCTCAAAGTGGTCGACCTGTCGAGGCCGACTGAACTACTCGATCGTTCATATGGTCGAAGGATAGTTTGGTCGACAGCTTTGCTGGTCGACTGGTTAACTGCTTGATTTCCTTGACTTTCTCATAATACGACTTCCTCGACTGGTCAATAGACCGGTTTAGCCTTGTGGGTATAATATCCTATATCAAGTGTAGTAATAATGTGCAATCTGTTACACTTGTGTTTATATGTCGCTATACTGATCTTTGTGTATTGGAATGCTTTATATTTTTGTAGTTTAAATGTTTTAATAAAATTTTTCTTTTACTTTTTTGTTTTTTTAATAATTTAACAGGCGTTTGTGTAAGAATTTGCGTTGAAAACCCGTATTCTTTCCACGACTGGTGTGGAGATTTTACAGTTGGTTGAGAAGGCTCCGAAGGATCTGTTAAACGATGAAAATTTCATGAAAATGCGAGGCGCAACACAAAAGCTACTTGGGGTGTGTAACGATGACTCCAATGGGACTGGAATTCAACGTGCGACTGTCACTACACCAACCCAATCTGCACAAGTTTAGTCAGCGGATGATGCATTCTGGAATAATCCCGAGAACTTAGCTGTCATAGATTCTATCATTGAGGCGGTTGCTCAGCGTGACCATTTTAGAAAGGTGCATAATGAAAGAAAGGTGCATAATGAAGGCCCTAGTTACAGCCTTGGACTCGGGCTTTCGCCAGATGAGGATAATGTTGAGGGACGCCATAATAATGTCAATGAACTCACTGTTGGTGGGCCTTCCAATATAGGTGTGCCATCAGGTAGTTGTTATTGTTATTTTGCATTAGATTTATTGCATACGAACGTTGATGTATACCTTTTTTATGTTTTATACTCGTTTGTAGCTGATTGTGGTATGGCGGTGAATGCGGTTGTAGGCGATACCGGTATTGAGCGCGTGAGAGGTATTTAGTATATTTTATGTCTTACGAGTGATTTGAATGTTATATTGAAATGATTTGCTATTGACTGTCTATATCACCATTGTAGATAAAATCGGTTTTCTAGAGAAGTTGGGTTGTGACGATGGACATGGTACAGTGACTGGTGATCGTGCATCTGAAGGTATATGCTTTTGTTTCTCTA